TTAACTGTGCCTTTTCTCGTTTTCCACCTAAGCAGGTGCACACTCGGGGGAGGATTCTGCTGGTTGCCATTCCCCCCGTGCCTGTCTCAGGGCTAACCTGTTCAATGGAAGCTTCAGTGATTACAACACATATCGGGGCTGGCAAGAGTCTCTCTTGGGGTGAGGCATCTAGAAGTGCCAGAGGATGCAGCTCCACAATTCCAACAGCCAACATCAGACAGAAATATATAGAGATAAGTATCACACTTAGGTTCCTTGCCACACCCACTCCCCCAACGTTTATGGAGTCAAACGTGCCTGTAGTCAATGCCAGAGGAGCTAACTTTTTACATCACAAAAGTCTGATTATGCTGGTGACTCAAACAGGAGGGCCAAGATAGCAAACACCCTGCCTGGGTAATGAACCATCCTGGGCCCAGAATCAAGCCTGCACTCATCTCCAGGGTCCCAAAATAACTCACTGCTGGCCAGAGCATGGGCCCTCCCAGACCACAGCCGGGGCTGTCTGAGGACGGCTCTCCCGGCAATCACCTCTCATGTCTACGTGACTCTAACACGGGCAGAGTCAATCAAGTAAGGGCAGACTCCGAGGGTCCACGGCAGCTTGCCGATCAGACTCGGCAAGAATTAATGAGGACACTAATCCACACAGGCCTAGGGCTCCCTGACTGGGGAGAGGGACTTCCATGTCTCGGCGCCTCGGCTGGCCTTGGACACCATTCCCACCACTGTTCCTGATCTGTCCCAGGCCCAGGAACTCAGTGGGAAGAGACAGAATCCACAACGTAAGAAAGCAGAAAGGGCGCTGTATCCCTGGACACCTAGAAAGTAACATAGACAGAAACAAGGCAATCTACAGAAGCAGGGCTTGAAACAAGTGAAAACCTGGCAACCCCACTGTCCATCCACAGGTGGGGGAGAAGCCACTACAGTGCAATACCACCCAGCAATAAAACGGGGCACACGTGGAAGCACACATCCACACGGGTGAGTCTCAAAACAAGAGAGGCTGGGGAAAATGAATCGATTCCTGTTATGCAACACTGTAGGAAAATGCACACCAATCTGTAAGAGTGCAAACAGATCACTGAAAGGGGGGGAAGGAAGGACTGCAAAGAGGCAGGAGGAAATGGGGGGTGATGGATGTTTTCATCGCCTTGATTACTTCATGGCTTCCCGTGTGTCAAAATCCATCCATTTGCACATTTTAAATACTGTAGTTTATTGTGCTCCATGTATTACACCTACATTAAACTGTTTTGAAAAAGAAAAAAAGAAGACCATTTGAGAGAGAGGAGGATATCAAGGAATCTGGTGTGACCAAGAACAAGTCCAGCGGATTCCCATTACACATATAGTTACGCTCTTAAAGTCGCCTTGAGCTGACTTGAGGAATGCTGAGTCATTGGCCCTGAAAACAGAGTTAGGTTTCTATGAGCTGGTCAGACATTTGTCAACCAATCAACATATAACCTTGTTTTATGTGTGTGTCTGTTTAAAGACATCTTACTTAAAATATACTGTTGATTCATTAACATTGAACTCATGGCCAACAGCACTGTAACTCATGCCTGAACAAAGGTCACCTAACATACATAGCTTCTCTGCGAGGCATGTGACAGTTCTCTCAAGCTTAGACACGAAACTACACTTTGGGGCCATTTTAAATAGCAAAATCACCAACAAAAAGTACAAAAAAGCAAAAAAAACACAGCACCAAGTAGACCACAAAAAGGACTTGTTCACCAAACGAGAGCCTTGTCTGACCTCTGCTGGGAAAGTGTGTTTCTCACTGCTCTGGGCACACCCATGACTGACCACAGAAGCACAAGTGTGGATTTGGGGGGTGACAAGTAAGTTTTAGCAAGTAGGCGAATACACAAATATGGGATCCTCGAATAACGGGGACCAACTCTAACTTCTTTGTGCCTGGGTGTCATCTTTAAAATGTCCCCTCCAAAACTCATTAATTTATTGAGATTAACCCCTAATATGGAAGTGTTAAGAGGTGGGTCTTTAAGAGGTGACTGGGTCATGAGGGCTCTGCCCTGTGAGTGGATTAATGCATGCAGGGATTAATGGATTGATGAGCTATGAGTTAATGGATTAATGGGTTATCATGGGAGTAGGACTGGTAGCACTGTCAGGGAGGAGAGAACCCTGAGCTGGCGCATAAGCACGCTCAGCCGCTCACCATGTGACGCCCTGCACCCACCCCAAGACTCTGCAGAGTCTCCACCAGCAAGAAGACCCTCACCGGATGTGGCCCCTCAACCTTGGACTCCTCAGCCTCCAGGACTATAAGAAATAAATTCATTTTCTCCTTTATAAATTACCCAGGTTCATGTATTTCTCTTATAAGCACTAGAAAACTAACTAGGACACTGGGTTTCCTTACCACCACCCATACACCCCAGACAGGGCACGAGAAACTCCAACCAGGACCCACCGACAGGCTCAGACTGGAAAAGCTCCAAGAAAGCCTGCCCCCAGCCAAAGGACCAGGATAAGTGTGGCCCAACAGAACCAAAACCTTTTTGACAATACCCACCAGTAAACTAGCTGCTAGTTTCAGGAGGTGGAGTGGGGAGCTAATTTTCCACCCCACCCCCTCCCCTGACTTGGCACAAGCAGGTGGCAACATTCCAATCTCCTGACGTGGTGTCTGCTGGCCAGGCAGGAGCTGATGTATCTCCCACCCGAAGGAAGCAGGCAGTGACCCGACTCCCTGCAGGGGGAAAGCCAGTGGAGTCCGGTGGGGAGCTGAGCCCACACCCTGCCAGCATCACTGCGAGGAACTAGGTGGTGAGGGCCAGCGCTGGTGGGCATCTGCCTGCCCCCAAACTCCCGTGCTGGCGGGCCGTGGGAGCTGAGTGTGCACCTCCCCCTGCAGTGAGGAGGCGGTGCATGTGGGTTTCAGCCCACTGCCCCCCTCCCCGGGGTCGCAGGGCCCACAGGGAGCTGATCATCGCCCCCCAGACCTGCATGCCACACGTCAGCAGGGAAACTGCCTGCTAAGAAGAGGATTGCATAAGATCCACTCTCTCATAGTCTCATACCCAAAATGTCCAGGGTACAATGAAAATCACCTGTCAGACCAGAATGAGGACAATGGCAATGTGAATGAGCGAAAATAATCAACAGATGCCAACGGTGACATGACTCAGAGGCCGGGATTACCTGACAAGGATTTCCAAGCAGCTGTCTTAAAACTGCTACCATAAGAACTACAAACACTCTTGAAACAAGGAGAGCCACAGGGCTATGTGTCTAAGTCACTCCCAGGCAGAGAGAGATTATTCTCCTTCCTTTAATCGCAGTGATTTTTAGATTCTCTGGGTCGGTGGATAATGCGCTAAAGCCCCAACAAGTTGGAAACCAACAGAGCTAACACTCAACCAGGTGTTGGCGGAGGCCGCGCCACGCGTGCAGTGTCGTGTGGCGCTGACTGGCAGGGGAGACGGAAGCACAGGCGAGGCCAGGTCCCTGCTCGCCACCGCAGCCACTGGCAGGGGCACGCTCCACCACCGCAGCACGGCAGGTGGGAAAACGGCCTGGAGGAGGCAGAAATAAACCGGTAGGGGCCCCACAGTAGGATACACAACGTTCACCAAAAGGACGTGAGAACGCGTCCCTACAAATGGATAGCAAAAGCCAAGTTACTACGGAAGAAAAACAAGGGGTAAAAACAGAGAAGAATAAATAGAATCGGGACGTTCACTGCTGTAAAAGCCAAAAGACAAAACAACGTCCAGAAGGGAAGGAAGACGTGACGTCAAAGTCTACAAGGGTCTCTTAAAGAACTGTTCATGGCCATCAGGCCTGCTGAGGGCGATGGACACGAGGAAAGGTGACAGGCAGGAGGCAGAGCACCTGATGTCCCTTCAGGGCCTTGGCCTGTGATGGGCTGGCCTGTGTCCCCAAAACATCCATGCAATGAAGCCCTGACTCCTTACACCTCGGAAGGTGATTGTATCTGGAGACAGGCTCTCTACAGAGGTATTTATTCAAAATAAGGTCACAAGGGTGGGCCCCTAATCCAATATGACTAGTGTCCTCATAGGAAGAGGAGATGAGGACACAGACACACACATAGGGATGACCATGTGAGGACACAGGGAGAAGACAGAGTCTACATGCCAAGGAGAGAGGCCTCAGGAGGAACCAACCTGCCGTCACCTTGATCTTAGACTTCAGCCTCCAGAACTGTGGGACAACAACTGCTGTTGTTCCGTCCTCCACCCCGGGGCACGGGCTGCGGCAGGCCCACTTGCTGGAAGGCCATTCTGGCCCCAGCGCTCTGCCTGCCACCCTGGCTGCACTTCCAGCCAGTATCTCAGCCCTGCCTATAGCATCGTTAAGAATCCCTTGCTCAGGACCAACCAGGACAAAAGAAAAGGTCCATTTCCAGAAAGGGCTGCCTCAAGCTGACTCGCTGAGGGAAGGCAGGGGGTGCCAGTACCTGCACTGGGCCTTCCTTATGTAGGAGGACCCCAGCTTCAGCGCTAAGGCCGGGGCAGGGCGGCACGCACCGCGTCAGGAACAAGGCACAGGTCAAGAGCCTCCCCCATGTGCTCTAGCCCAGCTGCGCCGACGATAGCTACCAACTCCTGCAGCTCCCCCTGTGAGGGATGCCCAGAGCCACCCAGGAGGCAGGCACCATCACCCCCACCTTACGGAAGGGCAGAGGGAGACCTGTGAGGCCCAGGGACCATGGAGCATGGTCTGCAGAGCCCAGTGCAGGTTTGACCCAGACTCTCCCGTCCCCCTGCCCCAGATTAAGCTCAAGATCCTGAGCAGAGCAGAGCCAAGGAGGAGGGGGAAGGAGAGGACAGAGACACAAGCCGAGAGACTCCCTTTGCGAAAACTGTAAGAAAGGACCCAGTATCAGGCCTCTACCCACAATGGCACACATTTACTGACCTTGCCTTAAACAATGCTGAACAGCTGACTCTCCTGCAAAGAAAGGCTCCGTCAGTGGGAAGACACACAGGACTTACCTGTGGCTCTGTGTGGCAACGTGGCCACCTAGCTCCACGCCGAGGATCCAAGTGAGGACACGGCTACCGGTCACTGGGTCTGTGGCTGCCTTTTCCTGCTCAGCATCGTGGTCAGCTCCAAAGCTGGAAAAAAAAGAAGCCATCATTGAACTCACATCACACTTGCACAAACGTGATTTATGCTCTGTGCCCAGGACTAAAATTTTTAAACCACACATGAGAAAATGAGTCCGCAAGAAGTAGCCTTCTAGCTGCCACATCAAGTGGTTGCAGGGACAGATGCCCAAGACCAGAGGATGAAAGGGAAGACACCTGGGCTCCCAAGCACTGCCCACGCACCTTCCACACCTCAAAGCAGGCGGGTCCCAAAGCAGTAGGGTATGGAGTGCATAGACACTTGCCCCTTCCAAGGCAAAGTTACCTCAAATTCATGCTTCAAGCCCAGATCAAAGCCCAGGTCCTTCTCAGGGTCCTCCCAGGCTACAACCTTCTGTCCACGCCACAGGGATCTGCCCCTACCTCAGACCAGGCGCCAGTCCACGGTGCCTGGGCTGTTCTCAGCAGAGGCCTTGCTGGGCAGAAAATGATATACTCTGAGCGGTGCATGTGTGTTCTCCAGGAGGGGTGCAGAGCGGGCAGACCTGGAGGTCAAATCCTGGCTCTGATCTACTTGGATTCATCATTCGAGTCCTGTGCACTGAGGGCTTGACACACTGTCTTCTCTGGACATGGAGAAGAGTGTGGAAACCAAGTCTAACCCTTGCCCTGCTGGAGGTGACAGTGCAGTGAGCTGTGCAACTCACCTGTCCTTCCAGACCCCGGTCCCTCTGCAGGGCACTGGGAACAAAGCCCACCTCACTGAGGATTTAATTCATTGCACTGGAATGCCCGGTTTTCACATTTCTAAATGAGACACACAGGGAAGACTTCATAGAGTGATGAACACACAGCAAGGTGCAACCAAGGGGATTATTGCCATTGTTGCCTTTCTGGGTTGAGCTGAGCCACTGCCTATGACGTGGGTGCTTTCAATAGAGCACTCAATGAAGGGCTCAAAAACTAAATTTTTCTAATCATTAAATGGTGAAAATATAACCTGCCCCTGCCTCTTACCTGGCATGGAAGAAGACTTGGGCCCAGAGACAACCAATGTGCAAATATGGCTATCACGATGGCTGTTAAAAAAAAAAAAAAAAGGTCCCCCTCGGCACACTTGCTGAGAACCTGGGCTCGGGAAGCAGAGAGACACCACCCCCTAGCAGGAGATATCTGTGAAAATGATGGAGGTCACTGGGCCTCAGTATCCTCATCTATAAAATCGGCATGAAAATAGTGTCTCTCTCTTAGAGCTTTTGAGGATTCAGTGAGCTAGGACAGGATCCAACACATAGTAAATGTTCAAAAATCGTACTGGTCATCACTCAGTACAATGAGCTGAACAATTCTCCCACTGTCAAATGCAAAACACACCGGCCACCTGCAAGCTTTGTGGCTTGCTGATGTTTAAAGAGGATGCTACCCTCTTTAGAGCTGGAAGGGAAGCCATGTGATGCGTGATCATTTGACTGCTCAAAGCTGAACATCACCTGCACACACAAAGGCATTTTATTAAGGGTGTTGCTGTAACTCTTTCAAAGAATTCGTCCTATCAAACTGGTCACTACTTCACCCATTTCTGTCTATTTTCAGCAAAGCTGACATTGAACTTTACAGTACAAAACAAAGGCAACATGATTTTTGAACCTTATAAACTGAAGAGTAAATAAGATACGATGCCTCCTCAATAATCTCAGTGCAAATTGGTACCTATGAAAGAGCAGCCGCTCAGCCCTGTTCTCAGGGCCCCGTGCAGCACCCACGCCGAGGCCCCGCACCCTGCACGCAGACCACACTCCGCACACGCGCGCACTGGGCGCCGGGCAGGCACCCGGAGTCCACACGGAACACCCTCGGCTATCTGCGTGTCAGTCAAGAGAGCGTTTAGCACGCAGATCATAGATGCGACATAAACTTAAGATCTTAAAGAAAATACTAACCTGGGCAAAAATAAATAATGTCTTAACTTACTTTCAAAATATTTCAGAAACAAAGGGCCTCTTGATTCCTGTTTAGTATCTTTGATATCTTCCAAAAATTCCTGAGCTAATATAAAGTTTTCCTTCTGTCCAGCTTTCTCACACTAAATATTTAGAGTAATAACAGTGACTATTTAGACACTCAATAAATCCCAACTTTCATGATGCGAGTATTAAGCCTGTTCAGCCAGAAGTTCTGGAATGAAGGCTGGGCCTTCTCAGAAGCAGACAGAATACTTTGAATTAAAAAAAATTAAACTCTTTATTATACTGACATCAGAGACTATAGTTTTCCCACAGAGTAAGAAGGTGCTTATGAAGATAAATTGGGAAATATGTGAATAAAATGGAATTGAAGAAAAGACAAATTTCTAAAAAGCAATTATAAAATTTCAGAATGTTGTTACCAGACCCATGGACAGCTTAAACCTGAGTCAACAATTAAATACAAAATGCCACACTTCTCACCACTTTTATCAGGGGCATCTTCAGATACCTTCAGACCAAATATGCAAATCCAACGGCCACAGCTCCACCCAACTGCCAGCCTCACACAGGCACCCCTGGGTACCCAAGAGGGACTGCTTCCTGGCTCTCCGTGATACCCAAATCCACTCAAGTTCCTGACATAAATGGCATAGTATTTGCATACAACCTACACATAACCCCTTCATATGCTTTAAACCATTTCTAGATTACTTATAATACCTTAATACGATGCAAAAGCTATGTAAATAGTTATACTGTATTGGTTTTTCTATTTGTATTAATTTTTATTGTTACATTGTTATTTTTTATTGTTTGGGGTTTTGTTCTGAATATTTTCAATCTGAAGTTGGTTGAATCTATAGATGTGAAGTCTGAGGATACAGAGGGCCAACTGTACTTTCAAAATGCCAAATACATAGAAAACATTCAGCAATGGGTATCTACCCAAAGGGAAAGAAGTCATTTTATCAAAAAGACACCTGCACTTTTTTGCAAATAAACACCTGCAATGTTTATTGCAGCACAATTCTCAATTGCAAAGATGTAGAATTAACCCAAGTGCCCATCAGTACATGAGTGGATTAACAAAATGTGGTGTATATACACTATGGAGTACTACTAAGCCATAAAAAGGATAAATTAATGCCTTTTGCAGCAACCTGGATAGAACTGGAAACCATTCTCCTAAGTGAAGTTATCTCAAGATTGAAAAAACAAACACCATATGTACTCATCATTAAACTGGAACTAACCAATGAATACATAAGTGCATAGAGGGAAATAAAACTCTGTGGAAATCAACCAGGGTGGGGAAGGAGGGGATGAGCGAAAACCTACCTAATGGGTACAATGAACGCTATTTTAGTGATGGGTATACCTATAGCTGTGACTCATGCCAGTGCAAAAGCAATCCATGTAACCAAAAACATTTGTACCCCCTTAATATTTTGAAATAAGAAAAAAAAAATTCAGCAGTAGCTCAGCAGTGAGGGCCCCATTCTTCTGGCCCCTCCCTCGCCGACCCAGGCCTTGGCAGACACCAGGGCAGGGTCACATATGTGGTCAGCAGGAACACAGGGCAGAGCACTGACAACCCGGAAATAGCTTCTGGACAGGCCGCCATCACCGAAACCAACAGAACTTAACTAAAATGTGCAAATGGGCCCAGACCCACCTGGGTCTCAATTCCAGGGCCAAACGGGACCAACAACTCCAATAATCCTCACTGTGGGGCCTCCAGGAACCACCAGCCACGCAAACACAAAGACGAGGAAGCCACAGAACACCTGCCCGTCACACAAACCAGAACTGCAACAAGCCGAGAGACTGCCTACCTGAAAAAGGCAAAATATTTCTGTCTAAAACTAGTCAAAAGTCTAGAGAGACAGGATGAATACACGGGCACACATAAACAAAGCGGATGATAAGAAAACCAACAGAACAGACACCACTCACCATAGCTTATATACACACACAGGCATATTCTAGTGTAGTCCTAAGAACAGCCCTACACAAACTATAAAATTTCACATTTACTCGAGAGATATAAAAAGACCTGAATGAATGGAAACATGCTAGGTTCCTAAATGAAGATTAAATTAAGATTAAATATCACAAAGATTTCGATTCTCTTAAAAGTAATTAATTCAAAAATTTAAAATAGTTCTACAAATGAAATACAGTATCAATCTAAATTCAATCAGCATTTCTTTCTTGGTGCCCAGTAGAATACTTCTAAAATTAACAAAATAAAAAATGGTAAGATGGTCAGCCAAAGAACATTAAGGGAGAATCACTCTCATCACATAGTAAAATCCACCCTAAAGCAAAAGTGTTAAAATAGTGTGGTACTGGCACAAAAATGCATGCTCCTGTTCATCAGGAAGCAATGAATCTACAAATATAAACACGAGTATTTTCATCACGGCACCACGCACTACATGAGCTGCACTGGAACGAGAGTGGGACCCCGTCTTCCTCGCAGCCAAGCACACGGGATGTGCGGGCCTGGCATTCAGGGGTTCCAGAGGCTGCCAGCTCTCCAGATAATGCCACCCCAGGTGATGAGGACACCTGCAATGACTGGCGAGGGCAATGGCAGCCACCCTTGGTGACAACCTATTACAAGTCACGCATCTTTACAGTCTCCCTAAGGACTTGTTGAAGATCAAACGAAAAGTAGTAAAGGCATGATAGACACATCATAAACACGTAAGGATTAGTGGCCCTTAATTACGAACAGCCAAACATCAATCCTTGGAGGTAGCACTGCAACCCCATTTTACAGATGCAGAGCCAAGGCTGGGAGACAGCGGGCACGTGCCAAGGCCACACAGCTGACGAATGGCAGAGCCCAGATCCAAGTCAATGCGCACTGGGATGTTTGAGTCCACGCCACCTACTTGTTCATCTTGATAAAGTATCAATTGTACCATACAGAAAAAGGATAGAAAAACTTCTGCAATTACTGTAAGGTTTCTCTTCATTTTTATTCTTTTGTTCACTTGTTTGGAGCCCATTTTATCATTTCCTTTTAGAGAAAAAAAATAGCCAAAAGAA